GTAGTAGTAGTAGTAGTAATCGTCGTTGTTGCAGTCGTTGTCGTTGTGGTCGTCTTGGCGGTGGTGATGTTTGTGGTTGCGGTGGTGGTGGTGGACTCATGCTGAGGGCAGTAGGATCGGCGCATTCGCAAGAAGAGACGCAAGGATACGAAGAAGAGCGTTAAGGAACGCAAAAGTAAACCCAAGAGCGTGGATAACTTCGGAGACACTGGTGGCCGCAACTGCAGCGACCGTGATTCTTCACATTAACTGACATCCAGAAACAGTTGATGCACATCGAATTGTCAAAGAGGCAGGACGCAACCGCTGGCAGGTCAATCGAAGAAAGCCAGCCTTCAAATGCCTGTGTATGCTGTCAATGTTCTTAGGCTTTATTGTTCGCGCAGCACTCCTCGATTGAATCACGTCCGCGTCCACTGCCCGTGATGGCTGGCACTGCCAGGTGGCAGATGTCAGGGACGAGTTGATCCAGGCAAATGGGGAATCATAATCTTTGCTATGCAATCACAAGAGGAGTTGATGGTGTTTTGATGGTCCTTGTCAGGTCATGCGGAGTTTCCGCTCGGCCAGGCCAGGGACGGGACGGGTTGACCCCCTGGCAATCCTAGCTGCTGTCAGCAAGGTACATCCGGATCAACCCTGATGAGGTCGGGTCCGCACTAAGTGTGCTGCATGCGTGCTTTTGACGAGTATTCGAAGTATTGCAACTGGTCTCCTGAATTACAGTTTGGGATGTAGGGACAGTCTAAAGTACTTCTAAATTTTTCTCTGACAAGTTTGAGCAGATGATCTGCATACGGCAGCATTCGCACGCCACTAACCGCAACTATGGGAAACATTCCCTGGCTCTGTAGCTGACGGCTTGCGATGAAACGATTCAGGATGAACGGAACACTCAGCTTGGTACGTTTGAGGCGGTGCACTGGCAACAATTTCCTAAAGCCTTTCAACTCCAAGCCCTGTTGAGGTATGTGCTAAGCTGCCAAGCATCTCAACAGGAGACGCGCCTCTTCGGAACGGCACCGGACCTGCCTTGTCCTCAGCCGTGCAAATCCCGGCAATGAGCTGAGAAGAAAAGCACCGACAGAACATGAACGCTGTCAAATTTCAAAGCTGGGAATACCCAGCGTGACTCTGACCACGATGATGCGGTCAAAGTAGCGCCAATCGTTGCAGTCGTCGTCCACTGTTGTTTGTTGCTACTGCTCCTCAGCCGTTGATTATGACGGCTGATCTATCGGTTGATGTTATTTCACTGTGTTCGTCTGCATGGTTGCACAGCATGCAGCTGTCCAGCTGATTCGATTGGTTTACGGTAGATTGATTGAGTGATTAGTTGCATTGGCTGCTAGGTTCTACATGCTTAGGTAGGTACATGGGCCGGTGGTTTGCAGTCGGTCGGTTCACGGGTTAGCTAGGCGGTGGCTTGACAAGCACATGTCGTGAATAAGACATTGAACATACCATGCACAGCAAGCGCAGCATTGATTGCGGACAGAATGACGAATGAGCTTTCTGTCCGCGAAAACTTGAAATCGCGTTGGCGAGACGAATGGGGATTCAAGCTTAATAACTGAATCTTCGTGGTGATTTTAAGTGTCTACTGCTAGTTTGATTTAGTACTACTACCCGTATTTCTAGTAGAACTTCAGACTTTTGTTGTATTCTTGCTCTGAGTATTCTTGCAAAATACGTACGATCATTACTTCCGTTGTTGCTATTGTGACTCTGATTATTTCGCTCCTGGTGAGGCCAACAGGAACCTGCCTGAAAGTATGGCCCAGCAAACATGACGAGCAGTCCACACGTTCACCGGGTTCAGTATTGAAGACTCGCAACTTCTTCAGTCTGGTTGCACCATGGATGCTCTGGTCCCAAGGCCGTCATCATGGTTTCGCCATGAATGCTCTGGGATGATATGTGCCGAACAGTCCTTAGGCCCCGGGCTGAAGTACAACCGCATGCAAGGAGAAAAGTCCTAGTTCCGGACACCTCGAACGTATGAAACAGTGCAGAAAACACGGAAAAGCAGGTACCTTTACACGAGGTACAGAGCAATGCCATTGTGCTGCTGAAGTCATGGGGGTAGGGAAACAAGCGCAACTCAACAAGCATCGGTTGTGGCCAGGGTTTCTCAACCAAGATGCTGAACACTGCAATGCCGTTGCTGCAGGCGCAACCGCTGCCTCTCGCTGCAGCTAGGGGCGGATGAGGTGCTCCTGCCGTCTTTGCCCGAAATCGTCGCCAAAGTAGCAGCAGCACAAATTGTCTTATCAGAGTCTCGCAGTCACTAACCGTAGCAACTACAGTCTTTCAATAGGCGCTTCTCAGTACCTCTCTGCAATAATCAGAGAAGCTCCTATACAGTTGCCCTTGTCACCCTTAACTCTGAAGGCCCTGGCGTACATGTACAAGCACATCCGTGCCAAGGCTTGATCGGCCAGAGTTTGTTTGTCTTCCTGTCCATGGTCATGATGCCAGCAGTGTCAGCTTTGTCATCAGCGCGTGTTTTCCGAAAAAGCAAGCAGTACTGCCTACCTTGCAGAAGAAGCGTGCGCTGCCTGTGGAAGACATGATTTGCCCCCTCCGGAGAGATATTCGGTCGCACCTGTACCCCTGGCTTTTCCTGTTTAGGCTGCCGACATGTGTCGTTTTCTCGTGGATGCCCCAGATTCAGAAGAGAGCACAGTTTAATAGCTTCTTGAAAAGAGTCATGCATGAAAACCAAACCCTACATACAGCCTTGCCAAGGTGAGAGATCGTGCTGGAATCTGCCGGGATGCCTTTGCACCGAGTTGTGTACGGACCTCACGGCGAAAGCCCACGACCTGACTGAACCGTGCTGAACCACCTTTGTGCACGGGAGGTTTCCCCACTACGTCTGCTCCACATCCTGGAGCGGTCAGGTGAGGTTTCGGAAATGATGTGCCATCATGAGATAACGTCGGAAGCGTGCATTCGCCCAGGAGTGTGCATGCAATACGAGATTGCCGAGCAATGCGCTCAGAAAGCGAATTTCGCGAACTTCCCCCAATCATTCCCTGCACCATGCCTCGGGTGGTTTTCAGCATATCTGTCCGAAGGAAGGATCCTGAGCCAAACGTTGTCGTATTCTTGCCGTCGGGCGCTGAAGGGAAGGTCTTGCTTGGTAACCGGGCACCTGCTGCAGCTTTTCTGGTGTGCCAGGTCTGAGACAGAGGGGCAAGCGCCTTACTATCAGATGGCAGACAGTTCAGGATGCATGGTTGCAGGCAAAACAAGAAGGTTCGTGTGTGAGAGAGCGCGGAAGGATGTAGCAGCTCTAGTAGTACTAGTAGTACTTGTAGTACAAGTAGTACTAGTAGTACTAGTAGTACTACTGGT